ATATATATATATATATATATATATATATTATTGTCTTGTAAGAAAATATTCACATTATCCATTAACGATGGTATATTATTACAAAATAAAATTACAACATATACACAGATGTCACGAATTAATACTGTGTTTATTCATTTCTTTTGAAATTCTACTGAACCTTTTGCTTTCTAAGCAATTAAAACATATAATTATGTTAACCACAGTAGTTATGGTTATTATAACAAACATGTTCTTTTACTAAATTAATCAAATAAACGTAAATGTATTTCGGATTTATATGATACACAATCAATTCTTTATATATGGAATATTTTTATGACTGTTATCCTTTTTTAGTATCAACTTTATGGCCCTCAACGGGATTTCTCATTTCAAATACTTTTATTTTTTTATTAATATTTTTTCTTTCTTTCTAGTTTTTGAGTTGAACATAGCCAGAATCAAGTAAAATACTTTATCAGTTATCATGTTTTTGTCTTTTGGGATTTGACTTGTTGAGTTTTTTGTTTGAATCTTTATTAGCTTTGAATGTTGTCCTCACTAAAAGTCTTTTGATATTAAAACTTTAGAGACAAAAGGTCATGTTCAATAAAAAGGAATTCCTCCACCACCTTTTCATAGCATATATCATCTAAAAATTATTAAACGCATGCTCAAAACAGTATACATTGTTTCACCATTATTCATTTTTTAATATGTTTTAATAATTTTGGGACTTGTATTTTTTTAATAATTTATAATATTCAACAAAGATTCCGAGTGCTTATTCAAATATTCTCTCATCTATTTAAAATTGTCTTACAAAGACAAAATAAGCTATTTGATAAGATTTGTTATTTTGTATCTTCGTGCTCTTTACACTGCTTTTTTAAAAATAACAATTTGTTCGTATTTTTAAATTTGAAAAAAAAAATATGTGCATACAAAATTTAGCAGCATTTGATGTGATTTGAAAATAATTGATGAATGTTTTTGTTTCGTGTCTTGCAATATAATTGAAACAAATGCCTAAAAAAATAAGCAATGGCAATACAAAAATTGTGACTGCAGATCAAGATGGACCCATATTGATTCAAAGGTCAAAGGTTATTCTCTGTCATTAATATCAAATTAATTCATGTTTTTGCCAACATGACATAATATCTTATAAAATAAAATAAAGATATATAAATGTTATAAAGAGCAAAGTCAAATGTTTAATATCTAAATATTATAATCAAAAGCTACAATAAAATGTTGAAAAAATAATATATTTGGTTGAAACTTATAGAGTAAAATTAAACCTCATCTATAAATTACAAATCATTTTTATGATATATCATAAAATAAAATAAAAAATAAACAAAGCAAAAGAAAATAAAACAATTATTCTCCTTCTTTTGTTTAACCTAATAAATAAATAAAAATCATATTTAAAAAATAAACAATACCCATAGGTCTTTAATTCGTACGAGTAGGTATATTTATTGCTTGTAAAATGTTTACATATTAATAATAGTCATCAGTCAAAACACAGAATAAAAAAATAATCATAAAAAATTGTTAACTATACTGGTTCATAAAATTATTGAAATTGAATTCTTGAAAGGACAGTTTAGTAGGCCAAGCACTTGAGATTCCAATTGTATGCAAACCACAGTAAATGTGCTTTACCCTATCTGTATTAATTGGGCTCACCTGAATATAAACTGTAGAAAAAAAAATGGAGAGATCATTCAATGTTTACTTAGTGTAACATATGGTATATTCCTTCAACCCTCGGAGTCCATGATTTGTTACCAAATATATGTTTGTTCTGTCAGATAATTGTTATTACTAATTAATTAATTATTAATTTCCCTTTAGGTGATTTAAAGTGTAAAAGATATAATGGATTTGAGGACAATTATACCATGAAATTATATATCATATTCAATAATTTTTTTCTTTATTCAATAAAAAATCATATAATTGTAATATTTAAAATAATAAAATGCAGTTAAGTGAATAAAAAACTTATTTCCTATTAATATTAATAATTATTAAGATAATCCTTACAAATAATCTACCACACGCAGAAGCACAAGCAAAAGTATAAAGAGAATTGTTTAACCTGGCGTAATATAGCATGCGTGTCTCTGCATGCAAACTGACAGACACAGTGCATGTAAACCATCTTGCAAGGCAAAATCCACTCCATCAAATTTCTGTCATCATGTCCCCTCAGCAAGATTCTCCATAAAAATCACCACCCTTGTGTCACCCAAAGGTCTGGAACACTCGTCAATCAACTAAATCTTCACTTCAATTCATCAAACCTCATGGCGTCACAGCCCTATGCAAAGCACCCACTCCTGTAAAATATTTTCATGTTAGCAACTATTAGTAATTACTTATTTTAATTAAACCTTGTGTGTACTTTATTCTTAAACAAGGATCATCCTGGTGCCCGCTGTCATGGTTGTCTGTTTATCAAATGAAGCTAGGTAGCTGTAACAGTGAGGAAGTGATAAGTTTTATGTTAAAGTCAGATGACATATTTGCTCTTTAAATCAATAATGATAAAAATACAATAAAACCATTAAAATGCTAGCATTGGAGACCATAAAAGAACTGTCTTACAATAATATGCGTTACTGAAAGAAACCATTTAAATATTATTGAATAAACAGATGTAATAAAAAACAATTAATCTTGTATATGTTTTAAAGGAATGCATGCATCTTCAGTCAGTTGTTTTTCCCAATCGAGGCTGAAGGCGGAGATTAATTTTCAGGGAGCGTGGTGTCTTCAAGTTGGTCAGAGCTACCATTTTGGGAATGCATCTACACAAAAAAAGGAGAAAGGGAATATATGAGTAGGGAAAATATAGAAGTAAGTTCGAAAGCACTAACTTCGAATAAGAATAAAAAACAAAAACCCCCATATTACTCAACGAGGGGAACATTCTTTCAGACGCAATAATATTAAAAATAAATTCTATGCAAGTAATTATCAATGCAGGATCCGTAAAACAGGATAACAGGTTCGCACCAAACCAAGCGCTTCTCTAGCAATCCTATGACTGTCTTCGCCACAAACTTTACCAAAGAGAAACATAAGGTGTTTTCTTTGTTCCAGTTTCAAGTGCTTTTCGAGGCCCCGACTAACCATCTCCATTTCAGGCTGCATTCAAATACCACGGTAAGTGCCAGTAGAAAGTGGCAATACATAAATCATATGCTGCAGCAGACAAGGTTAGAAGATAAATCTTTCTATCTACCTAACGCCTCATCCTAATCAGCATTCCACCAGAGGACGTGACTTGTCAGAGGATTCTGTTAACCCATCTTTGGTGTACTGCTATCGGTTGTTTTAACGGAGTTGTCATTTCACACAGTTATAGATGCTGAGAATATCAGTTCCACTCCGTAATTTCTTTTCACCCAGTGTATGTAGTTGGTGGATTTCTTATCCTTTCCCTCCCCGTACTTCCCTTTTTTTCCAATAAAAAACTATTTCTAATGAAGAATCAAAAAATGATAACTGAATTCAATGTTTTGTCATTTGGTACTTGTGTCCTTACTTAAATTCTCCCTACAAATTATTCATTCTTCATTAATGCAAATATTAAGAATTAACAGGTAAATTAAGTTTAGTGAAATAAAAATAAACACGATGAAAGTATCAAATATCTATACAGAATACTACATACAAATGCCACTTGTCTCCTGTTTTAGGTTTAGCGACTTTTCACTCATTTTTTATCACACAAATTATCCGACAACTTTTTTATATCTTTAAAATGGGTTACTCACGAGTTACCTCTGAATTACTTATCAATGATTAAGAACTGGTTCTCACACCACCCGATCCTCCTTCAATGGTGCAGCAGCTAAGATGGTCCTTAACATTAAGAATCAACTTAACTACTATAGGAGAAGCTCTTGCATATAAATTGTTCATCCAAGGATGTGCTGAAATTTAATGGAATAAATTGCAAATTATTATTGAAGATACATACTGACGACTCCTCAGGAGGAAATATTCGTAGAAGAAGGCATATCTTTGACAGTTCCACCATAGCCTCAACCTGTTTTCCTTGCATTTCCAGAGCCTGTAATTGAAAAGAATAACAAAACATGAATTTAGAAGTGCATTCCAGAGGGAATTTTTTTTTTTAGAGAACCAAAGGCCAAATATGAACTTTATGAAAAAGTACTATCTGACTGAGGCCAGAATTTCAGGCATTAAGTTACAATACTTCAAAGTTCGTCACTCATTTTTAAGACCTGCAAACCAATTATAGATTCTACATGCATGCAAGCCAGTGACAACCAAAGGAAACTTAAAAGCCACAATAATGGCCATATCTAATGGCATGGAGTTCTACCATATTCAAAAGAAAGATTTCTATAAACACAAATTAATATAAACAACTATTTAACTGAAAATATAACTGCCTTCACTAATGTTTGTTTAAAAAAAATGTAATTTTTCAGAGCCCCAAATGCTTAAACGCAATATTACCATATCATTAGATTTAGAGTAAGAAAATTACCCAAGCCTGTAGAAGACAGGAGCGCGTGCGAGCAGCAACAGCGGCAGACACAATTGTTGCAGCACGAACATTTTGAAGGCCAATATTTTCAGCAAATCCAGCAAGGAATTGAGAAGCATCCTCACCATTAATATCAATTGATGTAGAGTAAGTTGGTGCCCTGAATAGAAACAGAGTGACCGCCAGCAAATTTCAGAAAACAGGAGGAGACAGCATGATTAACAGGTGCCGTTTGGCAGTGAACAAAGAGATAGACAAGAATCCAGGGTTAATAATGTCACACCTGCTGCACACATTTAAAACAAAGTTAACAGATGCTCGATACAAGTTGTCCCGGACATTTGTTGGTTCAACAGACACTTGCACACCGGAAGTTCTGCACAGTTGACGTAACTGTTCATGTGTATGGGCAGCAAACATTTCAAGTGTCATCAGAAGAGAGACAAACTGATTCCCTTTTATTATAAGCACTCATTAATAAAAAAAAAAAAATCAGAAACCATCAGCGGTGATTGTTTTTAACATACACAGTATCACTTACATTTCAGAAAATTTTAGAAGAACCATGTTCTAAGGCAAAAAGGCATGCTACTGCAGTAAAATAATGACAACAATCACAACACAACACAACTCATTATATACATTTGATAATTAGTAAATCCCCAGGAGAGAAAAAAAAAGGTGGAAAAGAACTCACTTGAACTATATCACTCTCCATGATGTCATTCCCGCCCAATCTACTGTTTGTAATTGCTGGAAATCAAGTGGGTGAGTTGCAACTTGTTATAAAGGATGGCAAAACACTAGAGAAATTATTAAATGTGTATCTATACCTACAAAAAAGCACATGAACAGAATCATTATTTATCCCGAGATTGGAACACTAAGAAGTAGGACGAACGAAACACATTATAATTGCTTTTAACAAATTAAATTATCGCTAAACAATGCATTTCGATTAACAGGAATTGAAGATAAAAGCTTATGGAATAGTCATGGACCCCGTTAAAGGGAACCAGTACGTCATCAACTTCTCTGATAATAAGAAGTTGAAATAGGATTTTATTCTGTTACTATAAATAAATTCACTGACTAAAAAAGAGAGATGACATCTCAAATTCTCAGCCTCAAACAAACAACTTTACCTTGTTTAATTAATCTTTCTATGCTTCTTTCGCAAGAAAATTAAAAAGATAAAGGAATAAAAAGAGGAAAAGAGAAAACAAACCTCGAACCACTCTGTAAGCCTCTCTCTTGTATTCCTCCTGTTCACCCGCATCAAAAACATAGCCGTTGGCATTGACAACGGTAGGCCACCATTCGGGCAATTTTCTTTCAAACCGAACCTTATTCTTCGTGGAGCGCTTCACAGAGTCCCGAACCGCGGGTGATAACGGATTAGAATTGCTCCTCTGGCCCCACGCAACAACCACCTCTTTTCCGCCGAGACTCCGGTCTCTCCGCACCAAAAGAGGCCTATTGTTAGAAGCGTTATGACGCCACGACGAAAACCTAGAAATCAATCGGGCCAAAACGCTGAAAACGGAAAACGTGAGCAAGGTCAAAGCCGCCGAAGTTCCGAGGAAATGCAAGGTGGAACGGCGGCAGGAAACGACGAGTCTGCGGTTGTGGTCGAGAGTAAGGAGGGTTTGCAAATCGACGTAAGCGTCTCTTCCGGAAAGTATGAATCGGCGAATGCTAGATTGGAAAGCGGTCAGGGGAGTGAGGTCGATGACAGCTTCGAACTTGTGTTCGGATGAGGAAGAGGTGGAGGTGGTGGCAGGGAGGAAGACCTTGTTGTGGCGTCTGCGGCTGCGGCTTCGGCGTCGGAAGGAGGAACAGACGACGGTGAGTCGGCAGAGGCGACGGCATGGGTAGGGTGGAGGGAATTGGGAGGGAAGAGTACAAGTGCTGACAGAAAACATATAGCTACTTTGTTTTTTCCTAACACAACAAAACAGCTTTTCCACTTCCCTCCTCTACCTTTATTTATACTTTCCTCCAAACCATAGGCCCAAGCCCAAAATGTAAAAACCAATGTCCGCTTATATACACTATGTATGTAGACAATTATATAAATTTATATAATTGTCCGCTTATTTTTAAACCTTAAAAATAAATATATATAATCTTCTTAATTCAATTATATAAATTTTTTTAACATTTGAGTTTATTACATCAATTTACTCATTCTCATCTCAATGTTTGTTCAAATTTCAATTTTGCATTAAAGTTTAAAAGCTAAAATAATTCTTAACCCAAACATATATTAATTGAGCTACACATTTATATACAGGTTTTGACATGCAATATACATATTCGCACCAAAACAATAATATTAACGCAGAAATTATTGTTAAAAAAATAGCTTACTATAAAACACTGTAAGTTATAGCCATAGCATGAGTCTCATCGGCTATATATCCCAATTCCAAAAACAGAACGTGTCATAACAAAGTTATAGACTGGTAATTCAGTTTTCAGATTGTCCAAAATATCTCCCCGAAATTGTAGCCAATATATTCAACATTACAACCTCGTCATCCAGGGCAACCTTTCCGGCACGGATGCTAGCACACCTTCGCAGCAGACTCCTGAGAGCAGCACAGGTGTCTGCGTACAGTGGAGTATCAACTGTTGCACAGAGAGCAAAGAGCCACATGCAATCATCTCTTTTAACAGTGTCTGCAGCCTCCAGTAAGCGAATCCGTTTCAGCAGAGCTTTTACCCGGGTTACAGAGTCCATTGCTAAGATTACAGAAAGCAAAGGAGAACTGGGGGAGCTACTGCTTGTTTGATCAACTGAAGTTTTCGATTCAGTATTCTCTGGAGATAGTGTTCTGTCCTTATCCTCAGCGCTCAAGTTAGCGGGTACATCATTTGTCTTACCAAGTAAGACGTCCTTGTTCATAACACCAGAAATTTCTCCACAATCATTCCCAACTAACTGCGAGTGATGAATACGAAGGTTTCCAGAGTATGTGGCACTTGAACCATCAAGACATGAGAGATTCTGGAAAAAAGGTTGGGAAATAATGAGCACAATGTGATATAGAAAAATTTAAAGGACTCCGAATGGGTCAAAGAAGTGGTGCAGGAATTGCACAACTCTTGACTCCTGGATGATGAGAGTATTGGTAATTCCAAATAAATAAATAAATTGAGAAAAAATGACAGCAATGCAATTCATGATGAACTTACCGTTCTCAGTGTTGAAAATTCAGCAAGAAACACATCCTCCCACTGTTTCAATGGCAACAGATGATCTGGACACTTGGCAATACCTGGAATCTTGGGCATGTAAGCACTCTGTTCCTTGTTCAGTTTGCCTCTATCAAGTTTTGCTACCTTCACTTTTGGCATATGATTTGCCTCCCACCTGCTCAAGAAAACAATATACAGTTTACGAACCACGTTTTTTTCACTCAATTGGTAAACTACAGCGTCATCGTTTAACAGACCCAAGATATGGAGCTGCTCTAACTTAACAACATTGAGAAAGTATAACAGAAAGCAGAGAGAAAAAAAATTGAACTTCTGAGAGTTAGCACTATACCTGACATGCCTAAGATATTCCCATCCATCTTCTGGTGGACCAGAATCAAAATTAGGTTCTCCATCAACCAAAAAGGCAGGCCTTTGGATGCTAGCATAATTATCATCACTATCATCATCTTCATCACATTCTTCTACAATCGAGGCCTCATCCTCAATTGAAGAAGAGTGTGACGTAATATTTTCACTACTTCCCATGTGTTGTAATTCACTGTCCCTACTTTGACAATAAACTGCACCTGAAAGCAATTACAAAAACTCAGTACCAGCACTGACAATTTGCTAATAATTTAATAAGGGTTAAAAAGGGAATAAATATATAGTTTAGTATATGTAAATGCAAGAATGATCAGGTAAAGAAATTATGTCCTTCTCATATAGAACACGACGTGGGCAAGAAATCGAAGTTCGTGTTGAAAAATTAACAATATACTTCTCAACATACAACAAAGCAGAAATGAGCTAAAAAAACAAAGCATCGTCATTACGGCATGACCATGGTAATTATTCAAATCTACAGTCAGATTACTGCACAAGACTTTTCATATACAATGATTTTTACACAAGAAACCATGCACTGAAGTCAGTGCCTAATCAGAACATAGTCTACTGTCAACTAATGTTGCATATTAGATATGTTCCAGGTTCCTTCTGCTCATTCTTCAATGGACAAAGACATTCATATATCTCCATCTTCCGTTAGTAGCAGCCACACCTGTCCATCACAGAAATTGAAAACATCAAATTGACACAATATGAATCACAAAAATCGGAGCAGTAAAGTTTTGCACAGTTTCCCCAGAAAGAAATGCTTATATTTTGCAGTGAAAAGCCTTTTATACCAACGTCCCCCCGCCACCAAAAAATAAAGAAATCTCATTGATAAAAAAAAAACACTCGGACTCCATTGAAATCACGGTGAAAAGAAATTTGAAATATAATGCAATGACATAATCAACAATAGCCCATACTTATCCCACTGTCTGAGGTTATACAATTGAAGTCAAATTTTCAAAACATAAAATTTATAGAAGTGTCCGTTGAAATCTTACGATTAGAGTCAAATTTTTAAAACATAAAAATCATACAAGAATCCATTAAAAACTCCAACAGAAAAACCGGAGAAGAGAAAAAGGATAAAAATGGGGGAAATGGCAACTATAGAATGATGGATGCAGTTACACCATAAAGTGATGAACGGTACAAGCAAATTCGAAGTAAAATTACTCTAGTAATTGTCAAGTGAACAACAGCAAGGAAAGGAAATTTCAACAGCAAATCTCAAGGTACAAGCAAGAAACAGTCAACAATGAGGATCCCGGGTCAAACAAAACACCGACACAACAAAGAACCAACAAATATTTAGATTACAACAAATACATTCGGTGCCAATTTCAGAACATTCTTATCGATAACCAAACAGAACACGTAATCCTGCTACCACCAGATAATTTTTCCTTAAAAAAGACAACTAGAACGAAGAGCCGCACATTCACATAAAGATTCCGTTTCTTGAATTCCGAAACAAAGAAACCGAAAAGAAAGAAAGAACGACTTACTGAGGATTGGTTTGTTGTGCGGAAGAGGAGTGGAAGCTAAAGTATCGTACTCGCTGGCAACAGCGCTTTGAAACGCAGCGTGTATCGCTTTCCAGAATTTACGCTGTTGTGTTAGGTTGACGAATCTGAGAGCCTCCAGCTCCTTTCGCGAATACTTATTATTCCCACTCTTGGGCGCGAACTTCGATTTGGGCGGCCTCTCTTCGATTTTCCTCGGACCATGACCGATGTTGCTGTTGTTGTTCTTGGGTCCTCCTCCTCTTCTTCTCGAAGAGGGCTGCTTTGGTCCTCCGTTCTTGACGACGGAGTCCAGCAGCGCCGTTTCGTCGATGACTTCGATCCCTAAGGCTAAGGAAGCAGGAAGCGCCGTTACCGTTTTGACAGCAGCGTCTTTGGGCGCCAACGCAGATTCGAGCTCTTCCAGCAATCGCTTCTTCTTCATTTCGAGTTCTGCGGATTCAAGAACGGGTTGTTCTTGGGAATCTGAAGCATCACCCATCGCTTCTTCAAATTTTCCACTGCGCTTTCTCTTTCGCACACGAGTTAGGGCGCAAGCATTTGCACACTTCAACTTATAGCCGTCTCCTGAATACGATTTTTTTTTTTTTACGGCGCAGTCAATTTCACTTCCGAAAATACTGTTTAACTTTCGGCCCAACAAAACTCCCATTTCCCGTTTTTGTAAATAAATCTATAAATTTTACGTATTTGATTTGTATTTATACGTATGTAGTATTCATAAGTCATCTTTGTTAACTGAAATAGTATTCATAAAATTTCATATATATATATACCATTGCCTTAATATAATGTACAATTGTCATAACAAAAGTGCAAACACAAGGTACTTCACAAAATTTCCAAAATAATATAGATATTCTCACCTTGAACTCCTACTTAATTAATTAATTGATTTGATTTTTCTGGTGTAAAATTAAATAAATACCTGAATTATGAATTTTCATGGAATTTCGTATATGTGATAAGTTGACGTATATAAAGATTTTAGATTGAATACTATAAATTCCTTTAACAAGATATTGAGATTTAAAACGAAATTCTTTTTTTTTTCTAGCTTACTTAAACAGGGCTTTTAGCTCTCATAACTCCATGGGTGGGGACACGGTTAGAGGGAAGTTGGTTTTTCAAAATTAAATTAATTCATTTTATGTTTTTTTTTATTTTTTTTCACTTGTAATTTATATGATATTATATTAATATTCTTTTTTTCTTTTTCATCTTAAACATCTTTCTATAATCCTGAATATTTTAGAAAATTTATTGCACAAGAATAATTTTTTCTATCTAATAAAAAAAGTAGTTTTTGATAGAAATTAATATAATTATTATTTTGTACAAATTTTAAAAGTGAAGATAATTTATATTTGCTGAAAACTTATTATTCTTAAAGAATATATATAAATATTGGTTTTATAAAAAATTATTTAAAATAATTTTTTAATTGTAATAATATTTTAGATATATAATTTTATTACTTTGAAAAATTAAGAATATAATATATGTCAAATTCGTTTAACTTTAAAATAACTTCATTTTGAAAGGAAAAAATATTTAACATGAGTATTTTTTATAAGTCCAGAAATTATTTATAATTTAAATATATTAT